TGTCAAACGCGAACAGACGGGAACACAGCCTTCCCCTCCCCAAAGGGCCACCACCCAGTCAGACAAAGAGCCGTTTTTCTGCTCAATGGCAGACACAAGCCTGGCTTCCCCTTCTTGGACATGCCTTGTTATTTGTCTAGTGTTCCTGGACTAATGGGCGCTATTCAGATACGACATATACAGGGAGCAAACTGGTGCACGGAAATCAATGCATGGATAGGTGCAGCACCTTGTTTACACTAAATGCGCTTCCTTTGAAACGAGCGTCTGCTATAAAGCCCGCATTGCTCGGTTTTCAGACACTCTCTTCCTCGTCTCTTTTCATGGCTTTTCTCCTCTGGTTGCTGCCCACGCTTACTTTCTCCCTTTTTTGCGGCATTCAGCCTCACTCGTTCACTCACGACCTTCTTAACGGCTATATAGCATTACCTCTTCCCTTGACGCAAATTCGCATTTTTATTATTACTTTTGTTTCTTCCAGCGTGCGTGCTTACCATAGCTTTGCAGTTACCAGAGACGAGACCGTATATTTTGATTTTACCATTATTTTACCCACAGCTGTTGTTTTTATTCGCAGGACCTCCCTGTGCTCCTCCTGACAAGCTGCCTCGTTTTATTGCTGTTCAACCAGACTACTCCCAGCTCTAGTCTGCTTTATATTCAAGCTGGTCTGCTGTGGGATTTGCCATTCCCGTCTGCTGCTGCACAAGCGAGCTTTGTCACCCGCCTACTCTGTCAAACACTACTCGAACCCCCCCCCGAGCGGGAAAGGCTCTCTATATCGTAGACAGCCTTGGCTATCTCGCCCTCATCCAAATCTTTTGTTTACTCTAACACTTCACAAATCACATTTTCTGTTCCTGAAAAGCACAAAAAATTAGGGCTTTATTTATTTCCCCCCTTCAACTCGAACCACCTTTTCGAAAAATTTTCAGATCGCTCGCCCTTTACGATACCCAGCCAACTCGCACCGGCTCTCTTCTCGCTTTTCCCTCCCTTTCTTTGCCCTCGTTGTTGGTAGTTTTTTTTACCGCTCTATCTCTCAACATTTCTGCCCCTCCCGCCCATCGCCTTCGTTCATTTCGTTTCAATTTTCATTCGCACACATTTTCTTACCTATATTCTGTTATTACTACTCCATATCCACACAAACATGAGCGCAACCACTACAAACACATCCTTGCTGAAGGATCTTGCGTCGTCGCCCAACCCGTTTCAGGCCGCCACCCCCGCCAGTACCAACAACGGTGGCAATAGCAGTGGCACCAAGCGCGGGCGGGCGTCGGGCACCATCCTTTTTAATCCAGCAGTAACGCCGTGCAAGTCGACTTCGTCACGGCGCACGCAGCTGTCTCACATTTCCGACAAGCCGCCGGCCACGATCCAGGACGGCCCGTCACTGGCGAACCTGATAACGGATCTGGACGGCAACCTGCATCTGGAGCCGACGCCGCGCAAGACGCCGATGTTCTCGCCATTCAGCGACCGCACGGCGGGGGAGCTGGCGTGCACACCGGCGCCGACTCTGCGGCACAAGCGCGGGTTCGAGGAGTTTGCGTCGCCTGGGTTTGCGTTCAATTCGCCCACGCCGACGATGTTTAGGAGGCAGGTGAAGCAGCCGCGGAGTGCCCCGCCGCTGGTGGGCTCGCCGTGCAATAAATTTGCCCGCGTGCAGGCGCCGCTCTCGCTTAGCCGCGAGCGCCTTAATGTCGACGAGGTACGTTTTCTGTAATTGTCTCCTGCTGGGCTCCTTCTTTTCTTTTCCGTTTTGCTGTGTGCTTTTTTGTTTTTTTTATTCTCAGCGGGAGGCTGTTTGGACTTGAGCCGCTTTATGTCCTGCACCTTGACTTTGTGTGAGGTTTTGCGTATGCGCCACTGCGTTGTCTCAAACCCACATAGTGTCATTTGCCGTCATGTATGTGGGTGGGGTCCATGAGATGGCTCACAGCCGGTGTGCGGTCGTATTTTGCTCGTCATTTGCTGGTGCATCTCCACGGAGATCCCATCGGAACCGGGACACGTCGTCTACCTAATAGTGTGTGTATTGGCGGATGCAGCTCGCCGGCTTCTTAATATGGCCAGAACCGGCCATTTCCAGGGCGGATCCTTTGCGGGGGTCTCGGCTGCCAGTACAGGTTTCTCGCAAAGGATCCTTTTGTCGAAAATCTGAGGGCTGCCGATGGCGAGCCCAATGTTTACTTTTTTTGTGCAAGGGCAAATCCGGGCAATGTGCGACACCGGCTTCCTCCGCTTGGGGATGGAGTAGTGCATGACATTACTGCGCGCCACGTCAGTTTCAACAGGGATTACCCATACGGTCTGCATGCATTTATTGGGCCTGATACTCACACACTTTCGCACGCCGTAGGACACTGCATACGACGACGGTGGCTCGCTGTTCAGCCTGCAGCGCAGGCGGGCCCGGGCGCCGATGCTGACACCATCAGCGAGCAGTTTCCCGAAAACACGCCGCTGCGCAATAGCGCCACCGCCTGCAGGCTGCAGCGCGGCGCAGCCGGGCCTCGGCCATCCCAAGCTTCACCTCGTTCGAGGACGAGGAGCTGGGCGGCAAGGGCGCGGCAGCAGACATGGAGGACCAGGAGCTGATGCAGACCGAGCCCGTGGTGCTGATGGACGCAATCAGCCCGTTTGCACAAACGCCGCAGACGGAGCGGCACCTGCTGCCATGCACGACCTCGACGACCGACTCGATCATGCGTGTCGACGCGTCAACAGTTCCGATCTGCTGGAGGGCCGGTACAAGGACCTGTACGACGAGCGGCTGGTGTTGACTGCCGGTTCCCGTACGAGTTCGAGGGCGGGCACATTGCAGGCGCGGCGAACGCACCGACTATCGAGGCGCTGGAGCGGCTGCTGCTGGAGCGCCCGCGGACGGGCACGCGCATGGTGGTGATTCTGCACTGCGAGTACTCGATCCAGCGCGCGCCGTCAATGGCCAGCCATCTGCGGCGCGCGACCGCGAGGTGAACATGCACCGGTACCCGCACCTGCACTACCCTGAGATCTACGTGCTGAGGGCGGGTACCGCAACTTCTTCAACCACCACAAGCCGCTGTGCGAGCCGCAGAACTACGTCGAGATGAACGACCGCGCGCACACATCGACTGCCGCCAGCGCATGCAGCAGTTCACCCGCCAGTTCAAGCGCACAAAGTCCATGAACGATGCGGGCCTGGCAAAGGCGTGGCACTACAAGGCGGCGACGGTCACGTCAGGCACGACGCTGTTTGCCGCCCCCGGTGCAGTCGCCGACTCTGCAGGGCGGAAGGACCATGTCGACCTTGCCGACACGCATGAAGCGCCTGTCCGCGCGCAGAGTGCGCGTCCGGGCATCAGCATGCTCAACTTTGGAAATAACCCCTGAATAACAGATACCACATCCCTATACCACCCTGTCCGATAGCCTCTTAACGAATACCCTTATATCATTCCGTTCTTCAATTTAATGACCTTGTACGTGTGAATATCACGCATGCGGAAGTGCACCACCATATATGATGATCAATCAAAGCGATTTAATTTTGTGCTGCATACGTCATCACACATGGTGGTTAGGTAAGGAGCAACAAACAGATTATTTTCAAATTGTGTGGTGAATTGCGTCCCTCCCCCAACTAGACAGCCAACACTATATCTCTAACTGCTGCCCCAGCTCCTAGCTTCTGTGGGGGAGGTAGTGGCAGACATGCTTTTGTGCAGCTGATCATTCTGCACTATTTGCCCTATGGACGCTCGCGATCTCGGCTTGGCGAAGATTCGACGGTCAGTAGTGCCAGGGACCGAAACAGGGCGAGGAAAGGGTACAAATCCCGCACCAAGCACACGCAGGGGGATATTCGGATACGCAGCATGCGCATTTTCCTTTGGCCATTGTCGGAGAGGTCTATGACTAGGCTTCACATGGCTCGAGCCGCACATTGCCCTCATTGAATAGGGTAGAAAGTGCAGCCAGCCTTTTTTTCGCTCTTGGTCATGCATTGGTGATTTTTTCAAGCATGCATTCAGTCGTTTTTTGAAACGCAAAGTCTCGCGTTCCCTTCTCTCTTTTTCCCCCAAGCCTTCTTTTTAATATCTCAACTTTAGCTATTCTACTACATTGTAGCCACTATTGCACCATCAGCGGAGACTACGCCGGATATCATAACTCGCGATACCAATTTTTTCCTCTTTGATAACAGTCGACAGCATAGGAACGGTAGGTGACTGTATAGCACATCCAAAAATGGAGGCAAACAAAGGTGGTGCAAGCATATCACCTACTACCTGTCCATTCTACAACGATAATTCAAAAAAGAAGCAGCCAAAAGAAGCTGAACCATGTATACACTGCAGCTAAAAGAAAAAGCACCCACACTAGGACAAACACTGGGCCTGCCACAGAAGCACTTGCCTCGGTCATGCACCACAGCAGCCGGATATGCAGCAGCGTCAGCAGCGTCGCTACTCCGCCGACAACCCGCACAACAAAGGCGTGGATGCCAACCAGCTCGCACGTCGCCTGCGCAGTGCCGCAGTGACATTTTCGGAGCCGCCCGAAAGCAGCCCCCACCTGACCATCGACAACGACAGTCGGGCGTCTGTGCGCCCGCACATTGACGGGTCCCCAGGCGACCGGTTCGTGTATAACCGCATGCCCCTGGGCTGGGTCGACATCCAGCATTTCTCCAGCGACCAGGGTGTGTCTGGGACTAGTGCTTCAGGCGCTACACTGGCGGAGCCGCAGCTACGGACAGTGGAGCTGCCCGAGATGCAGCCAGAGGCACGTTGCCGCCCGCCGTCAGCTGTGGTTAAGAGCCAGGTTGCTTTGAAATCCCAGCTGGTGTTTGTCGACGGCGGTAGTGATGTGGGCCAGGGCTCAAGGCAGGTGTCGCGTCAGCCGGTGGTAATTGACTCGGGCGAGCCCCATGTTAATAGAATGTACCAGGCGGTCAGTTCTGCGGCTCGCGCAGTCACTGGTACTGCTGTAGTGCCGTCTGCAGGTAACGTGAGAGGTGTGTCTGTTCTGCCGCCTGCTGGGTTTACTACCGCGTCGCTGAGTTCCCAGCGGCAGGTGACCAGTACTGGAGCTATGCCAATCCCTGCTGCCTCTGCACCCTTCGCTGCACCCTTCGCTGCACCTCTATCTGCACCTCTATCTACGCCGCTCTCCGCAATTCCTATCGATCTAGCTCGTCCTTCAGAGCCACCAGCCAGTGTTAATAGCAAGCCACAAATGGTCGAGATCAAGCGCAGGACAGATATAGTGCTGTCCGCAGAAGGTCACAAGGCAGCACGCGCCGTGCCAAGAGCACGTCCCGGGAGAGGCTGATGACTGGGAAGGACCTGGCAGCCCATGTGTCGACGGCAGAGCCCATGCAGCCAGAAGTACATGCTTCTACTACACCGGCCCAGCCCCCTGCACATGCACCAGATGCTCAGGGGCCGAAGCCTCATGCTCCGCCTCTCAGTACCGAGTCCAAGGCATCTACTGAGCCGCGGGGCACTAGCCACCCACGTTCACGTCGAACCAGTACTCTGGAGCCCGCGCGCAGCCGGATGCCAAAGTCTGACGACGTCAAGAAGCTCGACCAGGAATGGACTAAAGGCGGCAAGGAGGTCATCCGGCGCCACCAGGCCGTCGAGATCCTGATGCACACATCGGGCGACAGCCTCGCTGACGAGGATATTGTGCCGCGCGATGATATCGAGCGACACAATATTGAGTCGTATGTGACTGATGCTGGCTACGACCTGGCCGGTATGTCTATTGCCGAGTCGGATATTGGCTCGTTTGCGTTGAGCGAGCTCGACGATGGCCCCGATAGAGATGCGCATAACTATGTTATCAGGGTTGATGGCAAAGAGGTGTCCATGAAGGACCCGAGTGACGGGTCAAAGAAGGGTATGGCAGAGGCTGCTGCTGAAGCCGAAGCTGTGGCAGCCACAGCCGCCAAGTCTGCAGCCAGGCTAGCGGCCCCTGGCGTGCAGGAGTCGGCAGAAATTGTCAGCTTTTCGGACCTCCTCAGCAACGATGTCTTTGGGTCGTGGACCAGTAGTGGCATGCCGACACAGGCAAACACAGCCGTCCAGTCCACTGTCCACAGCAACCGGCATCTGATAATGGTGCCAGTGGAAAAGGAGGAATCAGGGTTCCTCCTCGAGCCCCTGCAAGAGCAGCAGGAGTCGGCTGCCAGCATCCGCGCCTCAAATGCTGCTGTCCAGCAAACACCTCATGTCAGCCTGCTGGAGACCCCAAAACAGCCTTCTGAGCCCACGGCGGCTGCTACTCAGGCCAGCAACGAGGCAGATTTCCGTATGAGCCTGCTCCGCCGCCGCTCCAACGGACTGGATGTAAGCGCTAGCAAGGCGGGGACTATGCCACAGTACCAGTTCCCGACCCAACCCGACTCTGCTGGCAACCGAAGGGCAGCCTGATTCGCACACCATTTCTGTGCGGCACATTGCCAACGGGCCCCCGTCACAGGCGCCGAACCAAAGCAGCCTACCCGAAGGCATGCCCTCGTTCTACCACCCAGGCCACAACGACAAGACCGGCGACTGCTGCGAGATCCCTGCTGAGTGCCCAAACCTGTTCCCCAAGCTCAGCTCTGGGTCGTCTTTTTTCTCTGCGGGTCGACGCAGCAGCATGGCCGAACCAGCCCGACCAGAGCCGTGGGCGAGCCCCGGGAAAGCAGCCAGAGATACATCTGGGTTAAGGCGGCGGCGGGCAACAGTGACCGGAAACATGTCCACTTCAGGGACCAGGCAGTCTGAGACAGAAACAACGGGTCAGAGCACAGCGCACGAAGCGTCAAGCTCAGATCGCGAGGCCAAGACCAGCAGGGGGCCTGTAGCTGACCTAAAGTCTCAGCTCAAGCACCGGTCGCAGCGAGCGCTAACTGCGCACTCGCGCTCGCCTACTCTGCTGACTGCCTCCGCAGAAGCAAACAAGGCAGTGGTGGTCCAGATGCCCTTCCATCGCCTGCCCCGCCTCTACCGCAGCAGTCTCGCCAAATGGCGCAGGCAAAGGCGTCCAGCGGATATCTATGAGATGCAGGTGCTGGATCTGGACCCCGAAACCGATGCCAACTCCAACACGGATCTAGAGATTGCCTGCTGCGACTGCTTCAGCTGCCGATGCTCGTTCTGGTCATCTTCAAGCAGGCACGCGCGCAAGCGCAACAAGCGGCATATGAGCGGCCGTCCCCGCATGGTGCCTGTTCAAGTACCAGCAGCCAATGCCCAGCGACCAGGTGCTAGTGTCGCTGTCGACAGTGCTGGGCGAAACCCGCTGGTGGACAGTTCCTGGCGGCACGTGTATCGATCGCACCGACCATCCAGCATGGCGACATCGAGGCGGTCGGGCACTGTGCGCGCAGCCCTTGCATCGCCATTCCACCTGTGCTACAACTGCCTCCTATGGTGGCTCGGGCCGTGCGTGTGCGCATCAAATTCCAACAACGGCTGCTGCTGATAGTAATCGTCTGTAAAATATTTGTTACCCCTTTCCACTTTATGTATTTATTGATTACGTGGTTGTTCAGATGGACTTTTTCATCTGCTTTGCCACTGCATTGCGCATATGTGTCTTTGCCTTCTCCAGGCCCAGCCTTGCCGCACTGTCGTACATCTTGATGGCCCACTCGAGCTGGCTGGTTGCCTCGTATATACAGGCCAGGTTGAACTGGATTTCCGCATCCTTTGGCGACAGCTCAATTGCCTTCTTCAGGTGCCTGATCGCGCTGTCCGCATCCTTCTTGTTCATGAAATATACATTGCCTGCATTGACATGGGCGTCGGCCTGCGATGGATCAATGCTCAGTGCCTTCTCCCAGTGGTCCAGCGCCTCGTCCACGTTCCCCAGCGAGTAGAGACATATGCCGTTGTTGTAGTGCCCATCGGCAGTCGGATTCAGTGCTAGTGAGTGCGAGAAGCTGTTGAGCGCCTGGGCCAGGTTGCCTCGAGACATTTCATCGATACCCTGGCGCATGTGCTCGTTGGCCTGCTGGCTCGGAGTCATGCCATTGTCGATGCTGGTTGCATAGAGACGCTGCGTGCTGGCGAGCTGAGCACGGTGCGGCTGGCACCAGACGACAGCTCTGCGGGGGGCAGCAGCAGCTGCGCGAGAAAGAAGTAGGCGGATAGAAAACATGGCGAATTGGAGAAATGCACAAAGCTAAAACAAAGCGAGCTGCCTTGATCAACTATCACTGCTGCTCGTCCCACTGCACACCTCTGTCGATCGGCTCGAGCCGCCGACTGCTGAGCAAGCCGAGTCAGCTTTTTTTTTTTCGCCGCAACTTTTTTTTTTTTCCTCGTCTTGTTAAGACTGCAGAACAAGGTTGCTGCTCTTGCCTTCCTGTCTACTCAACATTTACATAAACCACACCCTTTCACATACATTCAAATGGCGAACAACAAGACAGTGTCGCTCAAGGAGCCGATCCGGCTGCCAGTGGCCACGACAGAGGAACAGCAGCTGCCTGCAGGACTAGCCATCGACAAGGCGGTGTTTCTGCGGAAATTCACAGAGAACGCTCTCCAGCAAGTGAAGGAGGTGAGTGTACTTGGCCCATTTCTGGATGCCCTTTCCGCACTAGCTAGCAGTGCCCGTTCATTTTTGCTGAGGCCGACAGCTTTTGTTGTTTCGTAGGGTAAAATGGACGAGTACTTCAAGCTCATCAAGGTGTTCTCGTATACACGGAATGCGTCGCCGCTGACTGCAGACAAATACGCGGAGGAGGTGTCGCCCTGGCTGGCTGCGCTGTCGGAGAATGTATCGAGTCTGACCATCACCTACCGCGACCTGATCAACACAATTTTCTTCAGCGACTGGGTGGTCAACCCAGACGAGCGATTCGTCCACCGGTACGCAACGCTGGTGATCCAGATCCTGTCAGCACACCCAGCGTGGGTACCGTACGCGATGAACTCGATGGTGCGGTGGTTTTCATTTGGCAGCCACAAGGGCGAGGAGGGTGCGGGAATAGTCCACGAGCGTGTTCATGCGGTCATCAAAGAGGTGTATCGGACAATCCCAACCTGCGGCACCAGTCTGGCTGCGGCCATTGTGGAAAAGTGCCCTTTCAAGACCGCCAAAATCAACGTGCAGGTGGTGTTTTTGCAGAACACGCTGCGGTGCCTCGAGTATGCAGAAAGCGTCAGAAAGGATGTGCTGGCGGTGGTGCTTAACCGCGTAATTCAGATCGATGTTGAGGTGCAGGTGGAGCTGGAGGATTTGGAAGAGGATGAGGAAGAAATGCAGCAGAAGCAGGCGGAGCCTGAGGAGGATGGCGTGTTCGAGTTTGAGGATGATGACGTAGATACGAAGGGTAATGACGATGGGGATGCCCCGTCAGAGTCTGACTCCGGCTCCGACTCGGATTCGAGTGATGACGAAGACGATGAGGACGAGGAGAATGACCTGGGCAAGGTCAGCTACGATGCCCGGCCGATTATCTCCAAGCTCGACGCAATGATGAACGTGCTCTTTGCCTGGCTCGACCGGCACATAGCGCTGGACCTACAACAGGGCGCGATGCCAGAGTCTGCCTCGCGGCTATTCCTCCTGATCCTGGATCTGTTCGACACAATCATTCTGCCAACGTTCAAATCGCGCTACACACAATTTTTTGTGTTCTTCCTGTGCGCCAAGGACCCCCAGTACGCTGATGTGTTCCTGGGCACCATGATGGGCAAGGTAGGCGACCCCGTGCGCAATCTCAACACTGGCCGGGTGTCGAGTGTGGCCAAAGTAGCTGCGGCCTCATACCTGGGCAGCTTTGTTGCGCGTGCCGCCTTTATCTCGACGCAGATCGTCCGGAATGTCATGGGTGTGCTGGTGCAGTGGGCGAACGCGTACCTCGATTGGCAGGAGCAGCAGGAGAAGGATCCGGTGCGGTCGTATGCCCAGGCGCTGTCTTCCAAGGCAGTGTCGGCCAGCTCGCTGCACGTAGACTTTGAGCGGCATGCAGTGTTTTACGCTGTGACACAGGCGGTGTTGTACCTGTTCTGCTTCCGCTGGAGAGACCTGGCCACGGCGCAGGACGGCCAGCCGCTGGTCGAGACCGAGCTGGACAGCTTGCGCTGGTGCCCTGAGGTTGAGGGCATCCAGCGTGTTGTTTTCTCGAAGCTCAACCCGCTGCGTGCCTGCTCTGCTGCCGTCGCCCAGCAGTTTGCTGCTGTGGCCTCCCAGACAAATTTTTTGTTCTGCTACGCGCTGATCCAGCAGAACAAGCGCAGCACCAATACCGAAGAGTCCGACGAGCCTGCACGCAACAGCATCAGCAACTTGCTGCGCAAGGAGCTCGATACATTCTTCCCGTTCGACCCTATGGCCCTGCCCATCTCGCGCCAGTACATCGACCCCATCTACCTCGAGTGGAGGAATGTTGGCGGTGACGACGACGACGAGGACAGTGACGAGGATGGTGAGCCGATCGAAGGTGCCGGCGACGACGACGATGACGAGGAGGGCGTTGTTGACCAGATGATCGCAATGTCCATCTCCCCTGTGCCGCCGCTCGGCGCTGCATTCCCCCGCTGAGAAGCGAACCGGACCAGCTGTACAAAAGTTTTCAATCTCAATACAGGCTATTTAAACTTGCCTGCTCATTCTCAATACAGGCCTGATGACAATCCGCTGTGACGAAAAAAAAAAAAGATGCTATTTGTTGGCATGATGCCCAGCTGACACACGTCATCTCTGCTCTCTGGCATTTTTCTCCTCTTTTGCTCCAATCAGCCTGTAAATTTATATTTTTTCCTCTCTATCACGTCTGGCAATGACCGAAGTTGATGATTACTGTTGTGCCATCGACCGGCACCTGCACGAGCTGCTCGACGAAGCCAGCGAGCAGCAGCAACGCAACGAGCAGGGCGAAATCGGCTACCAAGCGCCGCAATTCTACAATGTCGTCCACATTAGCGACGCCGAGAAGCTGAGCGATAACGGCTCGTCATTTATTGCGTACTCGATCATCTTTGGCGACTACGAAGTGAAGCGCCGCTACAGCGAATTTGAGTCGCTGCGAATGTGCCTGTGCCGTCTGTATCCGACGTTTATTGTCCCGCCGATTCCCGAGAAGCACTCAATCACGCAGTATGCAGTGCTGCAAAAGCGAGCCAAAGAAGACCAGTACATTATCGAGCGCCGCAAGCGTATGCTGGAGCGGTTCCTGAACCACCTGGTCGAACACCCGATTCTGAGCAGCGAGCACATTGTGCACCGCTTCTTTGAAAACGGCGTGTCATGGACCGAAGTGCTGCACTCGCCAGTCGTCACCAACCTGCCCAAGACGCCGCTGTACTCCTCCCCGTCGTGCTCTCCGGGATCATCCATCGCGGACGGCACCAGCGTGCAGATGCCCAAAATTGCTGCCACGAACAGTCTTGCAGCAGACGTGCCTGTGCCCAGCACGCTGGCGCCGATTCGAAACGTCGAGGCACGGTGGATGGATTGCGAGCTGTTTACGAACCGC